CAACGATTTGTGATGTTTGTGTATGTTGAACTAGACCCTGCATCTTGAGAATTTATCGAATCACGGGGGGGTTAATTGCCCCTATAATAATTATATTCTTCTTCTTGGTTCTTTCGGTAAAGTCACGTAGAAGGGAAATAAAATAATAAAAATAAAACATAATAAAATAATTCTCACGACGTTTCGGCCACAACGCTGTCTCCCCCACAGACCTGGTCTTCACCTGAGGACGGCTGCTTGCGTTGTGGCCGAAACGTCGTGAGAATTATTTTATTATGTTTTATTTTTATTATTTTATTATCTCCCTTCTACGTGACTTTACCGAAAGAACCAAGAAGATGAATCCCTGCAGTCAGGAAAAGCTTTAAATCGAAATTGTATTATTGGGAAATTGTATTATTGGGAAAGATAATGAATCCAGATGCAGGCTTCCCCACACTGCCAATCACGGGGATTGTTTGACCATAGGTCACCATACTGGCGATTGTGGATCTCTGAAGGGGTTTTCCAGGACTAGTATCTCTCCGATTGTTAATAAAGTAAATTGGGCTTGGGAAAGATACATAGCCAGAAGGGATGACAGCCGGTGGATGAGACTGGCGATGGCATGGCAGCCAAGGAAGAGATCGCATTCAAGAGGACAACCACCTGGGAGATGGAAAAAAATATTATTTCGTGTATGGCAGCAAGGTGTCTCAGCAATGTCGTGGGATCGTGAGGAGTGGCAACGACACGGGAGGCTGTTATCCAGCAGTGGATGGAGCATGGCTGCTGATGATCGTGATGCTGACGATAATGAAATACGTCTATGGGTAGACGTGTAGGCAAATGCATAATGCCGCCTCACTCATTTTACACCGGGTGAAATCTCATGGCTGTTACCAGGATGGACACCTTTGTAAAATCAAACCATGGCCACCCTGATGCGGTTACATTTGCACACAGGCTGCTGACTTGGTCAGTAATTGCTTTGTGAATGATGACCTGCCGAAAGGGACTTCCTGTGGATTATCCACACATGACAGGCATTCTGGATTATTGGCTCAGAGCTGTATTTGAGGGGAATCAAATTTGCCCTTCTGTACTGTGGGAACAGTGTGGCAGGATCAGTGTACTGTTTAATGTAGCCAGTAATCATTTACGAGTTTGGCTGTCAGCCACACGCACAAATAACAGGTTTAGTAAAATAAAATATATTAGCGGTTACACACAGTACTTTTTTTAAAATGTGTAATGTTGACTTTTGTAACTTTAGAGTATGCAGTTTTAAAATGTATTTCTGTCTCTTTGCCACAATGTGGTGAGCGTAGCAGTGCTGGTGATTACTTGCTACTCCCAGGCACGGCTGGAATGTCCCTTCTCCTCGCTGCTTATGCAATCAACAACGTAGGCGTTTGGACAGCCACACACAAAGACAAAGATCCCATTTTGCGCTCAAGGACTGTTTGGAGCAAACGCCGCTATTTGGGATGCAATGTGCATTGCGGCGTTTGTCCTGCCACGGTTACCAGGCCCTGGTTATGATCATCACCATGCACCCACTTCAGGCTGAGTTGATCTATGAGAGGTCCAAGCTCGGCTGGGCCATACCATGCTGGTATGCGTCATGGTCAGGCATTGAACCCATGGACCAGTGAACCGATGTTGCTACAATTGTATCGATCGCCCTACTACCACAAACGTACCATTTTGATGCACTCTCACAGCCTCGCGTACATGTACGGCCAATTCCGCCTGTGCGGAGCTACACAAACACGCTTGTGCATGCACACCAACATACGTAAAGCGTGCTTAATGACGGGTGTGTCTTTACACGCGTGTGTGCTGTCGTAGTAGCGCTGTGCTACAAACCCAGTGACCCGAGTTTGATTCCCAGCCACGGCTAACATCGGTGGGGAGCCATATCAGAACTGGTCCCAGGCTTCCCCCTAGGTCGACTCGGCCTTAAAGGTGTACCTGGTGTGGTGTGTAAACATCAGTACTGGGGAGACAAAGGTGGTCAAACCACCTGGGGTGTGGTGGAGCCAGCACCACCCCCAGCATGGCACATTTGAGGTGCTTAGTGCACGTGCCTGCCTTAATAGGTGCTTGCTAACAGCACTTGCCCCAATAGTTTGTTAAATGCTGCATTTGCATCTTTGTCTCCGTGCGCACACAAACAAAATTCAGTGCACACTGCAGCGGCTTGAAACGCTATTTAATGAGGTAATGTTTTTATCTTTCGTTTTGGTACCCTTTGAAAAGGCCAGGGGATAATCTTGGGTTTTCCAGCTCCATGAATAATTAATGAAATGTGATCAAAGAGCGCTTGTGTTTGTAGCCATCGCAATGGGGCCGGTAATGAAAATCAGGTTGAACGACCCATTGTGCTTCAACTATTACTGCCGTTGCAGCTGAAGGTGTGTAACTGTAAACATGTTGTGTAACTGTTTCGAAATTTCACCGAACAAAGTTTCGAATGATAATGGTGTTGTTTTTTCTCTCTCATCATCATCACCATCGTTAGCCATTGTCTATCCACTGCTGGATGAAGGCCTCTCCCCACGCTGTTGTCGTCATCTCTCGCGGTCCTGCCTATGCCACGATCTATCTCACCTCTGCCCGTACACTGATTTAGTCGCTCCCTCCTCCATCTCCACGGGCTCGTCCTCCTCTGTCATGCGTTCTCTTAATTCCGTATAGCATCGTGTCTGCCTGTGCCCGCCCGATTAATTCCCTTCATTGTCATCGATGTATCCGATTTGCGTTTGTTCCCTGATACGCTCGTTCTTCTTTCTGTGTCTCTTGTTTCCAATATCTTTGTTTCGTCTCCATATGTAAGAGGCAGGTATTGTGCACAGATTGAAAAATGTCTTCCTGAGGTGTTTTGGTATGTCGCTTTTCTGAAAGCACTCAATATCGCTATTATTAGGCCTCTGTTTCGTTGCTCTCGGATTAGCAAAATAGTTGTTTCGAGTTACACAACTGGTGTTCTGCTTAGAAACACACAAATGAAACGTACAACACTCCCAACGCCATGAAACCACCGTGTAATTGCATTAGTGTTGCCTAGACCGCATGTTGGCTGGCATTGTGTTGTGACTTTGCTCTGGGCTTGAGTTTGTGAAATATGTCCCATTCGAGTTGGCAGGTTCATTTTTTGGGGTGATTCCTGTGTTAAAATCTCCGTTCATCAGAATAGGAGGATTCTGACCAGGATTACGCCATGGAAGATGCCTGATGTCGACCAGAATCGCCATTAAAATGCGTCGCGTATTCATAGGCCGTACACGTCAATGGTAATTCCACCGCTGCTAAAACTCTGGCTAGGCCTCATGAGCCCTCAACTTGTTGCCTAAATGCCAAAGCCGGCCTCCACACAACCGGTTTCTCACCATGGCTCTAAATTTCTTACAATCCAGCGATATCCATTAGGAATCATTTCATGATAAGACTTTGTTTGTATCATTCCAGGCTGTAATGCACAATATCTTTCAACGTGGCAGAGGTTGTTTTTTTTTGTTACAGGAACAAAAACATTGCCAAGTTATCCACAAAATTTGAATGAATTAAAATAATCTTACAATAATATAAAATGTATTGCATAGAACAATGTGGTAAGAATGTAGACAAAACTTTACAGATGTTATCTAAAACATGCTGGTGGTTACTTGGTTGCAGTGTGCTTTGAGTAAAGTAAAACAAATTGTGTATATTTACATAACTGGATTTCCTTATGTCATCTCGCGTCAACATACTTCCACACCTCTAACCCGACGCAGCAACGAATGGCAACCACAATTAAGTTCGTCCAACGACCATTAACCCGTTAAATAATGTACAAATGGCCGCCGGTGTTGGTGAGTTTATTATCTCGTCTTGCATGCCACAATGGAAAAGAAAGCGTTTATAAACAACTGATGGGATGTTGCTGCACTTGGAAACGTCTGCAGAGTGCCGATGCAGACTGCCCCGTCATTCGCCTGCTGCCCTCCGCACTGACAAAGCCCCAGTCAGACAGATCGTTCATTATTCATGTTATACCCCTCGACGATTTCAAAGAAAAACAATGGCAGCATCTTTCACCTTCCCTATTGCCGAGCGGATGCCTCTCCACACGCCGTTAAATTTTTGTGCAATTTAAAAGCGGTCTTTGGTGTACGTATCGAAAATGTAACTCGTGTGGAGTCGGACTGTCGTCGCGTGGTCTCGCAGTGCGAGGTCGATTATTACGTGCGAAAGTCTGTCTGTCAAAAACAATGTATTCGGCGGGAAGAAGGGTTTTGTGCGAAGTGCTTGATGGTTAGATGTTCATGAAAATGAGTTGTGTGTAAAGGTACAATACTTTCCATTGTAAGTAATATGCTTATAAAATTCAAAACAAAGAGCAGAAAAAAATCCAGTAATTGTAAATTTGTTAACAAGGCCTCATTTCACTTGTTTTTATAATGATTAAAAAAATGTATTATGTGAATCTGCCTTAAACGATTGTGTTCAACGTTTCTCTTTCTCCACTACCTTTAACACGTCCTCCAATCCAGCAAGTCTTCTGTCAAAACCCCCTGGGTTAGTTTGTTGAACGTAAAGGGCGCCCTTGCTTTGCTTGCTGCTGCTGCGAGTGTCTGGAATTACGTTCCTCTGGATGTCTGCGCAACTGAGGACCCTTCTCCTTTTCTAGTCTACCCTCAAAATCTTTGTCTTTTTTTTCTGCCTATGACCGACTTTCCCTGCGAAATGTCTTCATTTGAACTTCTACCATAATGACATCTCAAAATCCCTTGCTGGCCTGTAACACTCTACCACTCATTTGCTGCTTTGAATTAACAAATGAACAAAACAAAAACTAATTCTTCAAACTCTATAAATACACATATCCCCCTCCATATAAATGGTATAACATGTAAATGCTTTATAATTTGGTATTAAGTTTAAGATAGAGAACAGCCATGGCTACAGTAATAGCCATGAGGGCTTTGAGATGCTCTCCTTAGTGGTATCGTCCTCCCTGGTGTGGCCTGCAGTGGTGCCGAGGAACTGTGTCTGCCTTGACAGCAGCTGGCACCGAGTCACCCGCTGTGGCCTCCGACGATGGAAGTCGGAACTCTAGCTACATCCACGAGGTCTCCAGTGCCACCCGCCGCCCCCCCCCCTCCGCCCACCGTGACGCTCACAAGACTTTTGGTTGCTCCCTCTCTCCCAGACGTGCCTGCGCTCGTCTGTCCGAGGTGCTCACGGTTTGCGCGGTCTCGCCGCAGATGGCCATCGTGTTCGGCGAGGCGGGGTTGAGGGACATCCGCCCGCCGTGCGTGGCGCAGAGCTTCATAAACCACGACGGCGTTTTGCACAAGGTGTTTGTCATCGGGGACACCTTTCATGTGGTGGAGAGGCCCTCTCTCAAAAACTTTCCCGCTGGGAAATCGGGTGAGTCATTTGGCTGTTCAGCAATACATGATTAGTCCAAGCGATTATGCGCGAAAGCTGTGTGTGTGCGTATATTTGTATAATTTGTGACCGTGACATTTGAATATCTCATCTCTTGTCTGGCAGATCAGAAAACTATCTTTTTCAACAGTCACGATGTCTCCAAGGCTGAATCTGCATCGCACTTAAATGCAGTAAGTACGAATAATATACATTTTAAATAATGTGTCAGTATGGCATTTCGTTCATTCCATCTTGGGATTTCATTTCATGATCTTAAGTGCTTTCTTGGCATTCCACCCGTTGAGCCACGCAGCCACCACAGCGTAATTTTAATCTTATTTGTTGCCGTTTCCCACCGTCCCCCCGCCGTTTGCATGCGCAGCGAGACGAGAGCCAGACGGCCGAGCAGCGGCAGCAGCTGTCCTTGCAGGTGGTGCGGCGCCTTGTGGAGGGCCTGCGCGAGACGCTCGAGATGTCGCTGTTCGGCATCGACATCATCGTGGACCGGGAGAGCGGCCACCACGCCGTCATCGACATCAATGCCTTCCCAGGTGAGCCGCCGCCGCAAGCCGCTACTGCCACCAACGCCGCTGCTACCACCACCGCCACTCCCACCACCACCACCATAACAACCGCCCATACACATGCACGCTTGCAGCGAGAAAATTCCTCTGCAAAAGCCTCGTTCCCCCGAGTTGAAGCCCCACGGGACGTTAAAATGCAAAGTTATTAATGAGTTATGTGCGGGTTGTGACGTGCTTTTGCCGGGATGGAATTGGAAACATTTAAAAATAGATTAATATGCGTATTGGTTGGATTCCATTTGTCGTGTGGTTGAGAATTAAATTGTGGCATTTGATCAATATAGTGTTGTTGGTTCCTGATTGGGCATCCGTGTGATTACCATTATTTGGACCACCTCCTTTCCGTACACAATGCCCGCTGGGATATACGAATAGTATATGGGATGACGCTCAAGGGAGAAGGGCATGCTGTATGAGTGCATATCATCATCAGTGGTGATTTCTGCGGTTAATGTCAAGAGGTATTTTCAATTAATGTTAGTGCTCTCCCTTCTCAATGTAAAGCAGCTGCAGAAGGCTGTGTGCTACACATGTGGAGTTGCATTACTCTGCAGGAACATAACTTCACTCTGCAGTGGTTGTGCTGCATAGCTCTGAACAGTTTTATGGCTCTTCTTGGTTCTTTTGGTAAAGTCACGTAGAATGGAAATAATAAAATAATAAAAATAAAACATAATTCTTTTTTTTTTCCATTCTACGTGACTTTACCGAAAGAACCAAGAAGATGAATCCCTGCAGTCACGAAAGCTTTAAATCGAAATTTAGTTTTATGGCTGTGTCCCTCGTTGTTCGGCCTGATGGTCCGACCATTTCACTTCACGTACCGTGAGCTCCTCCAGGAGCTTCTTCGAGACACGGCCAGCACGTGCAGGAGACTGTCAGACACACCGTGCCGTACAATGCGCGGTTACAACCCCTTTGCAAGTGTGTATGCCAGAGCTGCTATTGCGTAGCGTTTCCTAAACCGGGTGCGCCGTGACTCTGGCTAATCTGCTCCCCAATCTCGATGTGGCAAACTCTTTTGGAACTGATGCAAGTCGGTTTACTTTTTGTGTGAAATAAATAGACCAACGAAGCGTGGGAAGAATAATATAGAAACAATGTAACAAAATGCCCAAAAGTACAATTATGCCGTTTCGTAATTGCTTTAATTGACTTGGAAAAATTCAGACGATGCGACGAGATGGGTTTGTTTGTAAACGTCCGTGGACAGAAAATTGCAAATAAAACATCGTTGGGGCAAGCCCCCCAGTGCTTTCTGAAGAAACTCGTTCATGCCGGAAGTCAAATGGGAGCCAGGCCGAGTTTGGGCATACTCGGTTTGTTTAACCTCAGGTAGCGCTTAAATCAAAATTCTCACGACCACATGCCGTTTGGGATTTAGTCTTTACGTCGCCCGCGCAAGAGAAAGTGATTTATGGTTGAAAAGAATTCCTTCCCGAACAAGAATACACCGTGAGAAAAAAAAAAGCCGCTCTGCGTTTACAATGTCGTAGGTGATGGACGATGCTTCTACGTTATACGGTGGCTGAAAAATATATAGAGGAATTAAAATAGTTTTCTCAAGAAAGGCTGACAGCGAGGCCTAAGAGGGCTCCTGCCAGTTGAAAAGTTATTTTAATTGTACCTTTCTTAGCAGATATCTCCATGAAAAGTAATAACATAATATATAACATTCCCTAAAAAAGAATTGTTCAACCATTTTTTTCCTTAAAAAGTAATCGCACACGGACGGCCATCCGCTTAAGAAAATACAAGTGTATGGGGGGAAAACAGTGATAATTCAGGTGGCTTTGTATAAACAAGTGGAAATACATATGTCAAAATATACCCCAGGCTCGTAATTTTACATAGAGAAAACTGAGAAGATTGCTGTGGATGCTGGAAATGCGTTCGGTCCACTGTTTAAACCATGCAGCAACGTCATAAACCGTGGATCATTGTTGACGAGCAGTACCTTTTTTAGTTGCTGTGCCACATGTGGTGTTTACTGCATTTTACGGGTGCCTATTAATGTCCGCTGCTTTATGAGCAGCTGCACATTTTCCTGTTGAACGGTGATGTGGTGAACACCAAGCGGCGATGGCAATGTTTTTCCCGTTGCAAAATTACGCTTTGCCACCTCGCCGGGTTTCCTTTACACCATGGCATGATTAGGCTGCCTCAGCTGGTTAACCGGTTTATTTTTATTTACTTGAGTTTGGACCCCACTTATTGTGCCCCAGACTTGGTGAGATATAAATCATAGTAACCGTTGTGTATTTTTGTATGTTTTAACGGGCTGTGTAAATTTGTCAGGATGTTACAACAGTACATGCTCAAATGAGTAAACTCCCTTTTAAGTACAAAGTTAAACGTGTGCAACCGTCGTTAATTTTTGCGTAAATATTGGGGCAATGAATTGTGAATTATTCTCGGGTGTTTGGACGTACGTTTTGATAACGCGCGCCGCGTGTTGTCGTGCGTGTCCACCCAGGCTACGATGGCGTCGCCGACTTTTTCCCAGCGCTGCTCATGCACGTGCAGGGCCTTCTGCAGGCACACAAGCCCAGCGACGGCGTCTTAACAAACCAGCGCCTGCAGACACCTAACGGACAGCTCGAGCCACCCACCACAGGCGAGCTGATCCAGCATCATCAAGCCCAACCGCAGCAGCTTCAGCAGCAGCAGCAGGCTGCTGCCTGCAGGGACCAGGATTCCGCAAGCGCGGCGGGGCTGTCGGCCTTGCAGCTGCCTCGGCTTTCCCTGCCGAGCCGCCCACACGGCCGATGCGGGTGCACGGCCTCCCGGAGTTCGTGGCCCGTGGAGAACGGCGGTGGCAGCGGCGCATCGCACTTGGTGCCCACCAAACGGAGGGTGCACTCGGTGTCTGTGTCACCGGCGGCGGCGGCGGACATTGGCATGGTGTGCCACCGCGTATCGCTCGTGGGAAAGGGCAGCAACGGTCGCTGAGCCCACTGCCGGGGGCACCACAGATGTCACGCTTTCCTTTGTGATCGCCCAACAATCCATCCCTCCAACAGTCGTCTGCGATCATTGGTGTGTAGCTTCTGTCGTTAGGACAGCGGTGCCCAGTCTGACCGAATTGAAACAAGAAATCCAGTCATTCCAGCTGCGCGACCGTGCATATTGGTGGCTTTGGTACAGACGCTTCGTCACGTGTGTGCACATTTAATTATAGTGGTTGGAAGAAAAAAAAATAGCAGGATATCTTCTGTGTGTTCATATTAAATGACTTAATTTGTCTTATTAATCGCAGCCACCCCACCCTCCATCCAGATGCATATGTAGAGGTGATCAGGTGATCATGTGCTCTGAGAATTGTGGTGGTATAGCCTCCGTCCAAACACGCTCCATTATGTGCGCGCATTGCATTTGCCGAAGTCATGTTAATGTCAGGATTAATTCATTCCATGTGAGGTTGACAGCACCATAGCTATAAGCATTTATTTTTGGAAATAATAAGTTCCTTAAATTTATTAAATTTGTCAATCCAAATTTGCAGCTTGTTAGAGGTCTTTAAAGGGTGATGTAATTTTCAGAGTATGCCACTGACGATGTGGCTTTAAATTCCTTTGCAGAGGCAGGCAGGTGTCCATCTGATGAGTGCCCTGTCACTCATTGATACGAGTCGGAGACGTACGGAGGGCCGGTGGTTAATGGGTAGCATTAATTAAATGATTTAATTTACAGTAATTTAGTATTAATATATTTTGTAATAAAAATCAACTGTGAATATTATTGTGGTGAACCTTTGTAAAATTTTGTTTGAAATGCAACGTTTGTTCCACTTCTAGAAATGAAAAAAGAGTTTTTTAGATTTTTTTTTAACAACTTCCATATTTAATTTCTGATCAACTTTAATGTTTTGCCAAATGATATCCTTTTGCAAAATTGTAAATAAGTGTTGAAATCTGATTGAAACGCTGACTAAAAAAAATGTTATTTAGTTTATTAAAAAAAACAGCCCAGATGAACTTTAAAACAAATTGAAACACAGGCATCACACTCTTGTGCCGCCTGTTTAGCGATGTGCAACAGGAACCAAGAGTCTTGAATTTTATCATTTCTGTTGTAAAATATATTGGCACGTTAAAAAAAGAGGTTTTAAACGAGCTCTGGCCTAGCAATTCCTGATACCTCTTTGTAGGGGTATGCTTGTTGATTTTTAATTAAACAAAAATCAAGATAAATTGCACTTGTGTGATCCTAATGTAATCATTGCTGTTCTTGAAAAGCGCGTCATTCTGTCGCGAGCCGTCTCATTGAATCGTGCGCTCTCCGTGCATCCAGGGAATGTACGTGCAGGTGGAGATCACGCTGGTGTGTGGCTTCAGTGGTAAGGCGGATGTCCAGTTTGAGGAGACTGCTGTCCGCTCCATGTGCTATCAAGGAAAAATACCGGTGGCTCATATCTCTTTTTTCCACTGGCACATTCGAGCCGTGCTAGCGCGGGGCCCTTACTGTGTATGGGTGGTTTTCTACGAGCTATTTGCCAAGCTGAGCCAGGATCAAACGGTGAACCTCTGGCTTTAGAAGAAGACATCTGAATCTGGCTCGGAAGCAAGCAGGGCTAGGGGCGGGGTTAATTCTAAATTGAAAACCATTTCTTTAGAACTGATTTTTTTGTTTTATGTTTGTTGTCCTAATCTCCGCACCTTCGATTATCACGGTTGGCTACGTACGGTGCGAAAGAAGTTCAACATGCATGCATACAAACACATTTTTTTGTTATACATTGACGCAACGTACGTTCATTATTACGTATGATGTCGGTGGCACAGCCCGGGTTTTTGCAGTGGAAAATTAAACCTGGCTGGCTTGGCATGCCAACAGCGTGGCTCGGTTGTATCGTGGAAAGGAGGTATAAATTGAACCCAGGTGACTGTTTACAAGTTTCTGTCTTCGCACCCATCATCTGACTCACTTGAAGGTAATACCCCTCACCAGACACACACTTGGTGTCGGTCATAGATAAACGGCGCTGTCTCTCCGATGTAGACGTGGTCAATTTCACTGCCGGATGAAGGTCTCCCCAAGTCTGCCGCTGCTGTGTTAACCTGTTGTCAGTCCGCTTGGTGCAGTGCGTGCAGTGTTCTACGACAGCGGTGACTGCTTCTGAGTCTCGTGTCTATGTCGATGGACTTGCGTGTAACCGTATTTTCGTTTTCACCGCTCTTCTCAGCTTTTCCCGATGGTCTTTCTGCTTGCAAATATGAGATTTTATTTTGGGTGAAAGGGAAACTGTGGCTTAAGTGACATGACCACCAGTGAAAATACTTGTCGGTAATTATGGCGATAAGAGGGGTTTTTGTTCGCTTGGTTTAACTTAAACCGCTCTGTTCGTGTTCATTATAATTACTTGCACAGTTTATTTTAAGAACACATCGATGACGCTATAGTTTACAAAATCTGGGCGCTATGTACTACGTCGTCTTCTGTTCATACAGCACAGATTATTTTTGTAACAATTGTATTCTTTTCTTGTAATTGTGATTCCATTGAATAGAAAACTCTGCATCTTTTGGTGAGATGTAGTGCTCGCTTAATTACAGCTGTATAGCAGCGCAATGCAAATGATTTGTTGGCTACTCCATTCAATGTCCATTGCAGAGGTTTAAAAAAATCGGAAATGATCTACGATCCAGCAAAACTGGGTGCCGGATTCACACGTGTGCGTGCGAGGCTGTGGTTCATTGTCAATTACTTATAGCAGTGTCTCAAGCACCAGCGTGAAGTGAACTAATAACCAAAGTGTTCACCCATCGTTGGGTGACATCTTGTCGCAAGGCTTTTTCATGTACCACTTCTTGTTTGTGAGTGACCCCAACCACTTGGTTAATACGATTTTTAAAAAAGCTGTAGTTTTAACACACAGGCAAGAACGTATCCATGTTGAATGTTTAATGAACGTTATCAATGTGTCGGCAGAGGAGAAAAGTGCTTTCGCTCGGCTTTTTCTCAGCTTTATCTCGCAGTCTGGCTTCGCGCATCTGTCCATAGCCCGGGATGATCTTGTTGCCGTCTTTTCGATGGGGAGTCGAGCTCATGGGGGGCCATGGAGGCATTCTTCACGTCTGTAAACAGGACACTCATTACCACGTGGGCAAGATTACTGCCGATAACAGTGGGCTCAGTTTTATTTTTCTGCCAAGCCGTTTAAACGCGGAAGAGACTGCCCAGGCTTCCTCTTGAGAAGTCCAGCGTCTGTGATGATGGCTAGAAGGCAGCGGAACGAGGTTGTTTTGCGCGAGGTACTTGCATGAAGAAGGCTGCGCTGCAGATGCGATGCGTGGATTGGCTTGGCAGTGCTGGCGTAGCGAGACTGTTGCTGCTTATTTCTCTTGATAACATGTCCTGTTGCTGTGCTTTTGCAACTACGACTACCTCCTTGCATTCGATTACAATTCTCTACGTTTGTGTGTGATTGGAAACGTTCTCTATTGTTAGTATGCCCCTTTGAATTCTGATTCGAATCTGCAGAATGGAGGGTGCGGGGAGGGAGGAACGTTGTTCTGTGCTATTGAGAGGTCATTCATGTGGCTTTTATATATATATCAGTGGCTTCCACTCTTTCACCTGTCGTCAGCTGAGCCCCCCACCAACTTATTCATTGGTCAGCGTCCTTCCAGTTGAGGCAGAGGAAGCGATCGTCATTTTCTGGGCCGCGTAAGGGACTGGGTGACAGCAACAGTCTGGAGGGCGATTTTCGCCACATTCACAGCAGGATTTGCAACGTGATGCTGAAGTTGTCCAAGCTTTTGCTTAATTATCAATTCTGTAATCCTATACGGTATATCTCCAATTTAATTTGGAACTCTGGACGTAAAGATGATATGGTTTTTGTTATTTTTTAAATGCTACCGTTTGTTTTGTTCGATCTAAGTGTGCAAAGCTAACGGCAGACAACTGGAAAAAAGACCCGTATTTGCAACAGTTTTGTCCAAAAGTCTGTCACTTTACTCTTATTCTGACCAAACCGCATCACGTTTGAATGCTATTTCACCCTTAACGCGTGATGGTGGTGGTCGTGGTGTGATTGCTTTTCATGTCATTGACACCGTTTCTGGGTTTTCATTGTCATTCGTTTCACAAACATTTCCAAGCACCCAACGAACCAAAAATCGTACTTGCGATAAAAAAAAATTCCAACGTTTTTGGGCAAAGAAATGTCAAAAGTAGCTGCTTCGCATGTTTAATAAAAAAACAAAGTCATCCGGTTTGATTTCTGCTCGTGTGCACAATTGCACATCGTCACATTCCATTGGTTGCTTTTTATTTTGAGCGTCAAGCTTCTGGGATGTCTGGACTGTTAAGACCGCCGCCTTTCTACTTTTCAGATGACAGGACGTCTATTTCCGAGGGCTTTGGGAGTGAGATGAGAATGTACTTGTTAAGTCAATTGTTGCACTTTCCCTTGAACCAAGATTTCCCCCACCCTCGCTTTAAGCGTTTGCTAAAGCCCCCCCCCCCCCCCCTACAATTGTACTTTAAAGAATTTACAAAATTCCGAATGTTTGAAAAATATTGTTTCATCGTTTGGCTCTATAATTGTGGTGTTCACTTCTAATACCGGTCAACGGATTGCGATGATGTTAAGGCTTGACCGAGACTTTGTAATGTATTCCCGCCATGTGCCTTTTCCAGTACCACCACCGAGCAGTGTGCGTGTCCCTCTGGCATAAGATGTGTGATGCTGTTAATTTTACATGTATATTTATTAAAGTTCATCTGAATTAAACAAAGGCCATTTATAGTTGTCGGATGAGCTAATAAATGTAAATTATACGGAGGCCGCCTGTGTCTTTATTTTTCCCGTTTCCTCGCCCCCCTTTACATGACACGCGCTTAAACGTACCCAAACAATACTGCCAAACAATGCCCGCTGTAAATGTGTACGGTCATGGTTTTTAACATGGACATTTTTCTTTAATAGAGACATCACCTAAAAATGCACCGCTATTGACTGCAGTGCTATTCTCTTTGCACATAAAATCGACGTATAGTCCAAGCGCATAGGTGTTTTTTTGTTTTGTTTAACGCGAACTTGCTGTAATCACGTTTTAAAATGCTGTATACTGCAAAACGAAAACTTTCGCCGCACTCCCTGTGAAATGCATGCTAAGCTGCTATCCTGAAGAGCTGACGACCATGCATTTGCAAACCACGCGAACTCTCTTGCTGCTGTATGTCTGCTGACGATGTCGCCGCATTGCCCCGTCTACGGCACCGCGTCTCGAGCCACCTTTGCTCAAGTTTATTAGAGGGAAGCTTTCGGTCACGACGGGAAATCGAACCGCTGTAAAGTGTATTGTCTTTGAGAGAATTTAAACCTGGAGGTGACGCCTTCATACAGCAGCGGATTGATCAAGTCCGATGACGACAATGTCGAAAACTCAACCCTGATTCGATTGCAGCACACGCGTAACAATACGTGTGTCTACAGTAAGATATCAACAATGTACAATGAATGTGGTGGAGCGGTGGCGCAGTTGTTAGCACTGCGCTGTGAACTCGGCCACGTGAGTTCCATTTCCTTGGCCACGACTTAACAGTGGCGAGCGATATCTGAAGGTGCTCTGGCCCATATATGCAAACAAGACAAAGATCCCCCGTATAGCCTTAACAGACTGTTCGGGCAAGTGCTGTTAGCACCTACGAAGGCCGGAACGGCACACGAGGGGGTGGGTGGCCCAGCAACCACGCTCGGCCGCCTTTGTCTCCAGTGGCGATGTTTATACAACGGACCAGGTACTCATTTGAGGCTGAGTCGACCTAGGGGAAGCCCATGGCCGAATCGGATAATCGTCACCGGTGTTGGCTGTGAACGAGAATCGAGCTCGGGTCGCCGGGTTCGTAGCGCAGCGTAGCGCTAACCACGACACTACCGCTCCCTGCTGGCCCACATACACAAGACAAAGATACCCCGTTTAGCCTTAACAGACTGTCGGGGCAAGTGCTGTTAGCGAGCACCTATAAAGGCCGGCACGGCACACGAGGAGGTGGCCAACACCACGCCCGGCCGCCTTTGTCTCCCTAGTGACGTTTACACATCGAACCAGGTACTCATTTGAGGCTGAGTCGACCTAGGGGAGGCCCTGGACCGGTTCAAATAATCGTCACTGGTGTTGGCCGTGAGCGGGAATTGAACCCGGTTGCCAGGTTCATAGCGCAGCGCGCTAACCGCTACACTACCTTTCCGCACTATATAGACAAAGATCCCCCGTATAGCCTTAACAGACTGTAGGGGCAAGTGCTGTTAGCGAGCACCTATGAAGGCCAGAACGGTACACTATATATACACACACACACTTACACCCACACTGATCAACGAGGTGAAGTATAGTCAAACAACCCCATAGCTGAACGCCATGGGATCGAGAAAGGCGTGGGATTATTTTCGTAAACACAACACATTAGGAATGCAAACATTGCCATCAGGACGTCGTTACCGCGCATGCAGCTGAGTGAATTGTAAAGCAAAAGTTGGTGCGGGAAGGGGGGGGGTGGCGCTTTCTATAATCCGGTGGGATTTTGTGGCGCGTCGTTCCATGACCTCATTCAGTCACCGTGAGCGGACTCGTTAGCTCTGCCACGTGGGCGTAAATCTGTCCCCGTTGATTTGATTGCGCGCGCATGTGCGTGCGTGCGCGTGCATGTGCGTGCGTGCGCGTGCATGTGCGTGCGTGCGCGTGCATGTGCGTGCGTGCGTGCGCGCGCGTGCGTTTCCAACCCCTCCCACCGCTTCTGGGTGTCTCGCCGCCCGAGACGCGAACGCATCGGGTCGGTCACCCTTTTTACAAACGCCAAGACGTCGCCACCGCACCAAACTTGGCAATGTTGACCCGTACGTAAGGCAAATAATATAACAAATAGCCGCTACTGTGAGGGGTGTGGGTGGTGGGGGGGGGGGACAAAGCCCCGATATCCAATACAATGTTTGGTATTTATATAGAGTAGCGTCTGTGTGCAACCGAATCTTCAAGACGTGAACAACTGTGGGGCCGTGGGTGTCTAGGGCTGAGGCTTTTAAGGTGATATTCATCCAAGGAGGTATTAATTATAAGGAGGTATTCATTCAAGCAGCCCTCCTCTATGACCCAATCGAATGGAAACGAATTCTATACAGTTTGCATTATTGCCACGAGGAGGGTAAATGAAATACAACACCCACTAAATAATCCAAGTGGGGGGGGGGGGGGGACCACAACGCAGGCGACGTCATCAAGCAATGTAGCAGATGAATATTTCTATGAGCTTCGCGGTGACACAATGTGCACCGCTCGTGCCAGAGAGGTTTCGTCATCACAGGCAACCGGGGTGGGTGGGTGGGGGGAGGCTTATTGAGTTTAAAAAAAAATATTTGAAGTTTCCGCAGCCTTGCTGCGCTCCAGCTGCCCTCCTTTCCACCCTGGACACGTCCACCCACAGAAGGCAATCTGCGAATTAGGCCGCGACAAGAGATTGGCCAGTCTGAAAATATAAGAATAGATTTGACCCTTTCTGGCAATAAAAGAAGCGTTAGAATGTTACAACATCAAACAGAATCCTTTATCAAGGAATCCTGTCTGCATTAAACCCCACGCGCTTGTGGTGAACATGCAAACATAAACACATGCCCTGGTAGTATATAATGCATTGTTTTTTAAACTGATTGGTGCACACCAGAGACAGCTTTCTTTTGAGCCTCGTCTAAACGTGTAAGACCAGATGACGCTGTTCGCCTTTTGAACGCTGTTTTGCTTTTGATCTAGATTTGAAGTTTTCGTGACTGCAGGGATCCATATACTCTTTGGTTCTTTCGGTAAAGTTTTCCTTTTGGTTTGTTGAAAGCGGGGAACACAGACAGTACTCGAAGCAAAGTAGAACTTCAGGCAGAACCTGCCTCATGGAGGAAGCCACTCAACCTCCAGGCTATCATTTCATTTCGAAGGGCCCCAAGTTGGAAAATGTTGCGTTTTCTGATTTGTATTGTTACATCGCTGTATGTGTGTTAAATTTCCGATTTTTTTAACATCAGAGTTTAAGCTAGAACATTAATGTTACTGCCCTTGTAGTAAAACATTATTATATAATCGATTATGTTTTTGGCCAATGGACATTCCTCACGGCAGAGAGAACAGGAGAAATCATTTAAATGGACATCAATATCACGTGGTATACGTAATGTTTGTTTCAGTGTGTGACCATCACAAGACACACATGTTTTTAATATACATTGGACCGGTTATAATAATAATGATAATTTCCGGCCAATCCACCGATAGATGAAGTCCTCACTACCCCCCATGCTCCCTCCCCCCACACTTATGAGGGTTGTTTGACCATACTTCCCCATGATGGTCAGTGTTTAGGGGGGAGGCACCCTCAGGAATGGTTCAGATATGACTCACCACTGATGTTACCCATGGCCTGGAATCGAAGCTTCGTTCATTAGCCACAGCAACCACAACTTCCGTCTCACAGTTACAAAACTGTACGCAGCATATCAAACATAATACACGGAACTTGTTTTTAGATGAAACACGTAGGCTTTCGCTACCAATATCATCCATAATAGAGGGTTTTTGGGGGTTAGATTGCGTAAATATATAAATGTGTCGTTAAACCCGCCACCAACCGACACAGCCAACTAGTAAGGGTTGTCACGTAAACAGAACAGTTGTAATTACTGGCGAAACGTCGTATTCAGATTGTAAATGTTGTGGCTTGGCTCTCCAACACACCGGTTAGTGCTGTACTAGTGACGAATTGGCCACGTTCCGTTTACGTGACAACACTTACTAGTTGGCCGTGTCGGGTGGTGGCGGGTTTAACGACACGTTTATATATTTACGCGACCTAACCCAAAAAACCCTCCAATTTTATTGTTTTTAGAGGCAGTTTTCTCTCTCTTTTTAAATCCTTTATATTAAGTTCGCGTGCTTGCTTGCTTGCGTGCTTGCTTGCTTACGACCGTGCAAATCTTTCGGTCGTTTTTTAACCCACTTCCCGTGATCCAATCGAGCTGACATTTTCCACACAGACTCGTTGTGCCAGACAATTAATGTTCGTGAAAAAAAATTCCCAAAATTTTACACTTTTTAGGCAAAAAATTATTTTACATATATTCAAATAGAACTCATTCATGGCTTTGGCTGAACGTCACAGTATAAGAGCCCAGAGCGTAACCCCTCCACAGGCCGTGGCGGAGTAGTGCAGTTGGTAGTGCCCTCGCTTCCCATGCCAAAGGTCGCGGGATCGATCCCCGCGTCCTCCACAGGCGAATATATTTTTTAATCCTTTATATTAAATTCGCTGCCACGCATATAAAGGATTTATAGTGAAAAACTTTGTTTTTACGGGTTATACTTATTCATTCGCATGGGCCGTTTCAAATAGACAGCTGGGATAATCTGGCACAGACAAAGGAGGGCATCGCCAGTGAAAGAGAGCCACCACCGCACCCCAACACGTTGTTTGGGTAGACAAACCGGACCCCGGCCGTTAACGTGTACTGCCAATAGAACAGGGACAATTGTGAAATCCATCTCAGACTCCAGGCGCCGCCACCCCCTCACATGGCAAGGTGCGGCCTTGTGTTTGAGACCAATAAACACTCGGCAGATCCCTTTTTGTTTCTTCTTTCTAAAGTCCAACCTCCGAGCATTTGTAGCACCATCACCCCGGAGACTTGGTGGTGGTGGTGGGGGTCCTGATTGATTATTAACGCAAAGAGAGCTTGAGTGAGTGTGCGTGTTTGCTCGTTCTCTGCACTTGGTAGCTGCTGTTGTTGCCCAACCGTGCGT